AACGCAGTCACACGTGGGCAGAGAATTTGGAGAAGTAACTTTTTCAGGACTCCCGGTAATTCACCCAACCGGAATGGCCAGTGGCTTTGCTGCCCCAGTGGATTCTGAGTGTTGTAGTCTTTTTAAAGGCACATTTCCAAGCTCTGGCCAAGTATGCAAGGCCATGTGTGTACAAGAATTGGCTCCCAGGGTGAAGGTGATGGTTGGGAAGGAAAAGATGGATTCCCTGGAATGCTACTAGTCCCACAATACTCAGAATAGAGTAATTTCTATTATTCTAGTTGGTAGTGCAAGTCATCACCTGGTAAATTTTAGTCGCCACTTTATTTGTAGTAGTAGTAGTAGCAGTAGTAGTAGCAATAGTAATAATAATGTTTATTTATAACACCCTTTTTCTTATATCAGGATTAGTATCTGAAAACAACAGGGAGACATATATGTTCTGTACATCCTGGAGATTTGTGCCATATCGATAAGATTAATGAGATCAATATGTAAGTCTCTATAATATAAATATAAGGGAGCCAGTGTGGTGTAGTGGTTTGAGCATTGGACCAGGACTCTGTATGTAGACCAAGGTTTGATTCCCAGCTCAGCCATGAAACCTACTGGGTGACCTGGGGCAAGTCACACTCTCTCAGCCTCAGGGGAAGGCAATGGCAAACCTCCTCTGAACAAATCTTGCCAAGAAAACTGCATGAGAGGTTCGCCTTGGGGTCGTAATAAGTTGGAAATGATTTGGAGGCACAAAACGACAACAATGACAATATAAACACTGACATGGCACATGTTCTACTGTCTCTGTTTGTCCAGAGTCACAGGAAGCTTATCTCCAAATGTGGAGTCTTCCTATGCCATCCTTCCAGAACAGCTGAAGGAAGGGCACAAGACTGTGCCAAAGGAAAAGCTTTCTGGTGTTTAGGTACTTCTAGGTTGCTTATGCATGCCACAAGGGAGGCAAGGTATCTGCTATACTCTTGTGTCTCTTATTTACAGAACAATACAAGCTCCTCAGCGATCACATTGAACAAATGGCTGCCGAATAACGCCTCGACCTGCCTTCTGTTGCTGCAGCTGGGAACTGAGAGCGAAGATGCCAGTGGGGGGTGAAACGTGGCCATCTCCAAGATACAACCCGAAGCTTGCAACAGGCTTTAAAACAAGAACCACAAAGCCAATGGACATTGCTCTAAAACCTGCATGATCGTCATCAAAACCATGTAGCGCTGCACTGTGCAGTCCATAGAAGTAGGAGCATGGCAATCCCAAGATGTCTGCCCTCTTCCGCCGCCTCCTTCCCCGAGGCCTTGTTGCATGAGCTGACTGAACTTGGTAGAGTTGGCCGGAAAGATGGGGCAGAGTCAGTTACGGTGGGGAGAGATGAGTATATATATATATTCACAGATGAGGAGAAGAACGGAGCTTTGGACGGTCCTCACCTCCCTCCTCTTTTTCTCTGAGTAATGCTGCTGAATATTGTCTCTGTGTGTGTGTGATTTGTTTTTTTAAAGTGGCAAACAACTCTCAAGTGTAAAAAAGTAGAACTGTGTACAAAAGAGATGCAAGAGGGGAGAAGAGAGGGAGATTCAACCTCCCTTGTTGCTTTTGATTGATTTGGAAAGCTATTGATTTTGGAGAAAGGCAAGGTTTCTGTAGACCAAAAGGCTGATCATCTTGGTGGAGACTGGCATGGGAGTGGGCATGTGGATGGGATTGATCTATCCATCCATCAATTATCTATCTAGCTAATCTATTTTATCTAATCTTATCTAATCTTATCTACCTTCCTTCCTTCCTCCCCTACCCCTCTCTTATGTATATATTTCAGTGGTAGTCAAGCAGAGGGGTATGTTTTGAGTTTGGAAGATGCCATGGCTGGCAAGCATTCAAGGTTCCTGCCCTCATCTCCTCTGCAACAATTTTGATGCATATAGTATAAATGCCTAGAGTTTGCAAAGACTGAAGAACATAGTGCCCAATGCTTCTCATTGCCTTCTTGTTTGTTGTAGAGCAGAGTTGAGCCATTGCCCTGAAAGAGGTTTGAGAAAGGGGTGCCAACCACATTTTAAATGGTCAGACGGAAGGAACTCTCTGGGAAGGAAGGATCTTGGCGTACCCAACAATAGTGACAACCTGCCTTCGACAAGGTGGTGCCAGTCCATAAATATATCTCCTTTTTTCTGCTTTGTGGCTAAACTTCTGTCTGGCCAAAGTGAAATTTGCAAGAAATTACGCTGCTGCCATTTTTTAAGGGAGGGTTTTGAAAAAGACACACACACACACACACATATATATAAATAAAAGATTGTTGATAGCATTGAATCTCCTCAGTGGTAAATCTCAGAGCGTTGGCTGGCTTGTCGGTTTGAGAAGATTACTCTGTGCCATCTGTCACAGTCTTTGTGACGATCTGAGCCCTGTTCGCGTGACCACTTTGGGTGTGTTTTGTTAGTTTTAAACACTGCTTGATGTCTTCAGGTAATTTGGACAGGCAGCGTGGCATTAAGGGTTGTGAATCCTGTGCCCCCTTGCTAAGTTTCTGGACTGCAACTCTCCAGATTCTGGGAGTTATAAGTAAAAAAAGAAGGGAAAAAAAGGAAAGTAATATTTCAAAGCTCTTATTCTAGCACTGCAAACTTGGTGCACACATTTCCAGAAGATGCGGTGAACTGAGTTGTCGGCGTTTGCATAAGGGTTCACACAATTGTTCCAATTCTGGTTTGTGGTGGAGAGTCAGCCTGGCAGGAGGAAAGTCCTGCAAACATGCCCTTAAAACTATCATATCAGGAGAGAAAGGTGTCCTGAATTGCAAAAATCTTGAATATTGTATTGGTCCCATTTGGCTCTTGGTTCCCTTGAAGGAAGTTATGGTAGGATTGCATGGTGTGTTTTTCAGTAAATGCAATGCCCATTCAGTCTCAGATGTCTTCCAGGAGGGTCTATAAAGAAGTGTGAATTCTTGATTCTCCTGGTGTCACCCCATCCCCATTGATCTCTTTCCATACCACACCATACAGAATCCTTAGTAATGTTTTTGGTACTAATAAAACTCATACATCATAATTCCCATATATCACTGAAAGTTATAGCAAGACTTGTGACGTAAACAATTAGCAAAACTAAATCCAATACCATCAAAAATTCGCCAAACAGTGATACCTTTATTGGGCCAACCAAAATGCACCATATAATAATAATAATAAATAATAATAATAAATTTTATTTATAGCCCGCCCCTCTGCGGAGCAGTCGGGGCGGGTTACATCAGTTAAAAAACAAGAAGTACAGAGATTAATGTTGGACGCCTTTGAAGATCCACTGGCTTCTTATCAGGCAAGGTGTTAAAAACCATACAGGAGAGGAAAAGAATTGAAGATGTTAGTCATAGGCATTCATTTTGCTATTGAAGAAGCCAGAGAAGCTTCAAAAGCTTGCAAACTTGTATATTGCACATTTTGATTGGTCCGATAGAGGTATTACTATTTGGTGGGTTTTGGATGTTATTGGATTTGCTACATGGCCAACACGGCTACCTCTGGATGTTGTTTTTATTATTTATTTTATTAAGCAAAACTAAAGTTAGACCTTTCAGTTACAATATCACATGCACAGCCTAAATGTATTTACAGTTACAGTTACAGTATTTACAGTTTTGTGTGGTTAAAGTGAACATTTGGTGAGAAGTGAAGATTTTAAAGAAAATTTTGAAAGAGTATTTATAGAAAAACAAATCCTAAGGCTTCTCCTTTCTCTGTCCACCAAACTTTGCCTCACTCACACCATCTTTTCCACTGAGCTTCAGGGTTTTAAAGGGCTCTGGGTGGAAGCCACGGCCCATTTCTGCTAAAAGGTAGACATTTGGGGAGTATTAGTGTCACCCCTTCTTAGGGTGTCACCCGGTGTCGTCCGCACCTTCTGCACCAACTATTGATGCCCCTCCATCCATTTATTCCATTCTTTGGATGCTGTTTGCAGCAATTTTTTGGATCGATACTCAAGCACCACTAATAGTTTTGTGTTTTAAACTTGGTCATGATTTGCTGTGAGGTGGTCCTGTGGTTTGAAGGGGAAATATTTGCTTTTCTCAATTTTAATTTTATTCTTAGAATTATTATTCACTAATCCCTCCACGTTGTTGGCTTTGACTTTTGCAGATTTGATTATTCACGGATTTTATTAATATGTTCTCTCTAGGAATATCTAGGTCCTCCAGCACAACTCTACGGTCAACTTTACCCAAAAGTCGCACTGGAGGACCTAGAGATTCCTAGAGAGGACACTTTGCTAAGCATTTGTAGCTCTTCCGGCACAACTCTAAGGTCAGTGTCTGGCAGATGTTGACATTCCCACTTTGTCCAGTAGAGAGTGTTATAAGAACAATTTTGTTTTGGGGAAATGGTAAATTCCAAAGCCGCATCTATTGTTGTTGCTGTTATTTTCCTGTCTTTCAATAATGAGACTCAGATTTTTCTCTATAAGTACACCACAAACTTGGTTTCTGCCTCTTGTTGATCAGGTGGAGAAAACTGTCCGCATCTCGTAAGACGTCTACTGGCTCAAATATCTGTGGTACAGATGGTAGGATTGTACTCTTGCATGTTAAGTTTATTCCTCCACTTTGCACTTGGTGAAAAGGTTGTGCGAATCTTCCACTGTGGGTTGACACTTATTTGGTGCACACCAACTTTCAAGAAGTATGGCAAGGGGGTTTTCACGTAAGGTCAGCTCCTTTTGTTTCACCCCACTGGGGATGACGTATCCACACTGTGGAATTAAAGCAGTTTGACACCACTTTAACTGCCGTGACTCTATCCTACAGGATTCTGGGACTCTTTGACAGTGTGTGTGTGTGTGTTGTGTGCCTTCAAGTCATTTCCAACTTAATGGTGATCCTAAGGAGAACCTATTCTTGCCAAGGTTTGTTCAGAGGAGGTTTGCCATTGCCATCCTCTGAGGCTGAGAGAGTGTGACTGGTCCAAGAGCATCCAATGGGTTTCCATGGTCAAGCTGGGAATTGAACCCAAGTCTCCAGAGTCATAGTCTACCACTCAAACCACTAACGCCATGCTGACTTTCCAGGCTGAATACCTCACCAAACTACAAATCACAGATTCTGTAGTATAGAGTCGTGGCAGTTAAAGTGGCGTCATACTGCTTTAATTCTATACTGTGGCTATACCCAGGAGAAAACCCTGTCACACCATTGTAAATCTTACTATTATTATTGCTATTGTTTTATTTATATAACGCCACCCATGTACTCTCTCTCCTTAAGTATGAAAACCAACGCTCTCGGAGAGCGGTGTATATTTTATAACATGGTTTTTCAATGGGTTTCTCCCAGACTCCTTATGGCCCCTGAAAATTGAAGACACATGGCAGGGGGGAAATGCTATAATTGATCCATCCAGTGAAGTCTGTCGGTCAGTATTGATCTCCAATGCATATCATTGTGAAGTGGTGTTTCTACTAGTTTAATTCTTTCAAGGCTCTCGTAAAAAGTGCTGGCGTGGTTCTTCTTTTCCTAGCTGCATTGTTGAATCTTGGGGTAGATGCATGAGCGGCTGGGAGATGGAGGCGAACCATTGATCCAAATGTGAACTTGGTGCCCAATACCTATTCCAAGGTTTATTTCTGAATGCATATGTTTCCATGATCCTGGGTGTATTTCTTGCATTTCCAAGGACTTGAGATAATAAACTGAGAGGGTTACCTTTTATTGGGGAGCCAAGCTAATTGCTTTGAAATATTTTCTTGAAACTTCTGATGAGAAGTAACTTTATTGCCTGGAGTTGAAAGATGGACATCTCCGGATGAATCCGTTGTCCTGTTTCCGTGCCGAATTTTTACTAGTTTATAACTTAAAAGGTTTTCCTTCTTTGGTCTTGTCTCTCACCTAGTCCACCTTTCCCTAAATAAATCTCTAATTTTTCTCTGAACACTAGAAATATCTAGCCTTGAAGATTCTGTTTTTTGTTGTTATTGTTATTAAGAAATAAGCTTAAAATCCCAATATGGTATAATTGCAAACGAAACATTTCAGTATATTATCTCCATATAACTTAACTGTGGAGTTTCATTGCATTTCAGATGAAGATACATTCATCCAAGTTTTTGTTGTTTAGGATGCTATGTGCTACTATACTACATTCTGATGTGCCGAGTGCGATTGTGCGGCAACTGATGTGTTGTACCGAGGTTGCGTGACTTGATATCCTTTGTGGAATATTGTTGTTTTTAACTCATGTATAGAAAGTGTTATCAAGTCCTGGCTATGAAAGTGTTGGAGAAGTTAAATAAAATGACTTTTTTTTGAAACCATACACTGAATCCAATCGTCTTAACATTAAGCATATGTGCATCCTCTATATTTTATCCCAGGGCTGCTTTTTTTAAATAGATGAATTATTACACAGTTAAAAGGGAATGTTTTATTATGATATAACTGGATTGGAATTTAATGTGTATTCATTCCACATTAGCTGTATCATTGGAGGTGCTTCCATAAAAATACAGATTTGCAGCCAGGGAAGAAGATTCTAGCATTAGTAGTTGCATTGCTACTAACAGTAGTATTAATATTAGTAATATTAATATTATTATTATTACTAGTAGTAGCTGTAGTAGTATTGCTTGTTGCTCTTGTTCTTGTGTGCCTTCAAGATGTTTCCAACTTATGGCGATCCTAAGGCAATGTGTACGTTTTTTGCCTTCAAGTCATTTCTGACTTATGGCGACCCTATGATAGGGTTTTCTTGGCAAGATTCATCATGGACAGGAGGGTTGTCATTGCCATGTTCTGAGGCTGAGAGACTGTGATTTGCCCAAGATCATCCAGTGGGTTGGATAATCATGAACTTTCAGCCAAGGGAACCTCACCAGCTTATTGTGAAAATAAAAATGTGTTGTTGATTCTCTTCCTATCAGCTTTCTTCACTACTTTTCACCACCATATACAAAAATCAGAAATACAATGGCAAGGGTTAGTCTGACTTTGGTATCCAGTGATACATCATTATATTTGATGGTTTTATCTAGTTCCTTTATGGCTGCCCTTCCAAATCTTAGTCCTCTTCTGATTTCTTAACTACAGTCTCCATTCCAATGAATGACTGAACCTGGAAAATCTTCAATTATTTTACTCCCTTCACCATCTACTTCAAAGTTATGTAAATAATATGCGATCATTATTTTTGTTTTCTTAATGTTCCTTTGCAACCCTGCCTTTGGGCTAGAAAGCCTTGAGAGAGCAAAAGTCTTGTCAAGGAGAGAGTTTGGAAGCTTGCTTTGTATTCCTACATATTCCTAGCCAGCAACGGACTGGCTCGCTCTTTGTTTGGGTTTATTTCCTAGAGTAAACTACTCAGATATTTGCTCTGAAATAATCTGGTCATTTTAGGAGCCAAAAATGGAAAGAAGAAAAAGTCTGTATCTCTTCAAACAGGAATAATGTGGCTGAGAATGACCACTTCTGATGCTGTGTGATCTGGATGCCATCTCTTAGATTATTGGAAGGTCCATCTGAACAGATTGGAAAGCCCAGAAAGTCACTGGTTTTGTTCCTAACCTCATGGATTTAAGGAGTTTATTTGTGTCTGTGTGCTTCTTTTTGGAGATCTATCTGACATCTTCCCCATTCTGGAGCATTTCCAGGGAACTCCTAGGACTAGACATTTTATTACCAGTCTCCAGGTCAGTTTAAAGTAAACCAGTATTTCCTCAAATAAAATGCACCTCTCCATGGCAGTGTGTCTGTTATCCTAATATAGAGGAAAAATCTCAGTACATCTAGGGACTTTCTCCCCTGCTTGGATAAGCTTTGAATGTCTTCTGAATGTTGGATTCCTTATGATCTACATTTCTGTTGTTGCTGAGTGAAAAGCGAGCTTGAAAATGTTATTGCACTGCTCCTTCATCCTTAGCATTTGCAAAATAAAGCATGAGTACAATGCAAAATGCACAGGGATGTTTAGTTTATTGTAAATCTCAAGAGGGTGGAAGGGAAGGTTTGGGTTGATCTGGAGTGGAAATGTCAAGTTCAGCTGTAGAAAAGAGAAACAAATACAACCCAGCTTCATGAATCGAGACAGCTGCTCTCATGTGGTCCTGCTGGCTACTTGCCGAATCTGGATGTATTTGGCATGGCTTAAATCTTGCAGCTGGCTCTCTTCAGACTCTTCATCACTCTCCACGAGTGTCAGCTTCTGCAGAGTGCTTTGGACGCTCTAAAGACAGAGATATGAAACATCCGTTACCTTGCAGGCCCGGACTTGCTGTGACAGCACCTAGGCCAAATTTTGATCATCATTCTCACATCTCATCTCCCCTCCTCCCATCTTGAAAGCTTGTACATTTCTTGTGTGTAAGAGACAGTGTGGCATAGTGGTTTAAGTGTTGGACTCTGGAGAGCAGGGTTCAATTCCTCGCTCAGCCATGAAACCCACTGGGTCACACACTCTCAGCCTCAGTGGAACGCAAAGGCAAACCCCCTCTGAACAAATCCTGCTAAGAAAACCCCATGATAGGTTTGCCTTGGGGGTCACCATAAGTTGGAAACAACTTGAAGGCACACAACAACAACAGTCTTTAACAACCTCCTAATTTAGGAGCATGGATTCTGGATTATCCTAAATAGGATGCTTCTTGCCCAAGGTCATTCACTTTCGTTGGTCACAATCCTCCGGTGCCTCAGACACAAGGACTTGCCTTGCCACTAGACAGAATGAGGCAGCTGCCTCAGCCACCCGATTTTAGATATCAAGCACAGGCAACACATTTTTTATTAATTTAATTTGCTATGACTTCTTACGATTGTATTTATGCCACTAGGGATGGGTAGAGCCGCTTGAGGGATTTTCCACTTCTTGTCCCAAAATAACTTGGCTGCCTTTGGGTACTATGCACTTAAACTTACGTGGGTGGAGGGCACCAGCTGTTGCTCTGCTCCAGGCAGCAAAACATCTTAGGCTGGCTACTGGATGTTTTAACTTGAGATGCCAGGGATTAACTTGGGCATCTTTTACCTGCAAAACAGCTGCTGTTATGGGAAGACAGAACTGAGGCTTGTTTTTTGATACTCCAGAGACTAGGACCATGGAGCATTGGATTCAAACTCCAGGAAAAGAGATTCCACCTCAATGCTGGGAAGAATTTCCTAATGGTAAGAGCTATTCAACAGTGGAATGCACTGCCTCGGAGTATAGTGGAGTCTCCTTCTTTGGAGGTTTTTAAACAGAGGATGGATGGGAGTGCTTTAGTTGTGTCTTCCTGAATGGTAGGGGGTTGGACTAGATGACCTTTGGGGTTTCTCCCAACTCTAGGATTTTATGAGTGCCAGAATAAACTTCAGACAGATATTGATGGCAAGATCTGTGCCACTGAGGAGTACAGCCTGCTCCCTTCTTAGAACACCAGAAGTGCCCTGTAGATTCACTGCAGCAGTTTGCAAAGAGCAACTTCACTTGCATCCATCTTTCTGAATCACAAGAGTTCTTCATTTTGAAATGAAGAGTCTTAAGCAATCCCCTGGGTCTTTATCTCCCTTCTGCAATCAGCCATTCCTTCCCAGTCTTCACAGATATCCTGTACTGGGGAGATGACTGAGGGATAGCTATTTATGGGAAATGTCCTTTATAATAGATAAGGTTGCAAGACTGAAAATGGGAGAGGGCTCCTGGGCCCTTAATGGTGGCGTAAAAGAGGGAATATCAGCAGATATGGCCTGTCTTGCAACCAGGTAGTAAGCAACACATGCCAAAATTCCCTCTTCTCAACAACCATTAAATGTACAATATAAGACATCTCTCTTTTTCCTTGTGCAAATTTGCCAAATAAAACATGAATTTCCCTGTGAAGTTCGGTGTAGTTCAGCCAAGATACAGATGTACAGCCCATGTAAAATGGTGGACAGAATGGATCTTGGGTTGGCCACTGTTTAAAACTGCTTATTTCTGCTGCCATCCTTGTGTTTTATCACACATAATGTTAAAAAGTGTATCTTCCTCTTTTTGCAGTGATAACATTTTTCACACCCGCCTGTTGCTCTTCCGTGTGAAAGGCTGCTTTTGAAACC